TCCATGGCAGCCTAGATCGAGGGAAACAGCTTGACATCTTGGTTGCTAGTAAAGAAACTTTATGCTTCACCACCGTCTTGTCAAAATGACATGAAGGTATCTGCAATTAAATTCTAAAGCCAATCCCTCACATTGAATAGTATTCTTTCAAGGGAGTTAATCTCCTCATCAGGTCCCTGTCTTCTTCTAATCAACGTGACTCTGGCATGTGACCATGAAGACAAGATGAGAGTGTTCATCCTAATCAGGCTCTCCCAAGACAGAACTGCCATTTCTACCCTGTGGAGTCTGCACATTACAGCTGCTAAAGTGTTTTCATTATATTGGTCTTGTTTGAACTCTTTTCCTGGGAAAGAATGTCTAGGGCTCTGCTTGGCCTAGATTTTAAGAAGCTAGAGCTAGTCTTGAGAGTAGAAGAGGTGGAGTGTCCCTGAGATAATTTAAGTGTTTCTAAACCAAAGGTCTGTGCAAAGTGGTGAAGACTTGGTCAAAAACCAGAGAAGTTGTTGGTTTAGCCTCTCGTTACTGATAGCATAGTCTAACTAGTTTCCCAAACTCTAGTGTTTAAAATTCTTTAATGCCTTCTCACTGCCTGCAGAATAGAGTTCAAATACCTTAAGGAGGCCTGTAAGGCCCTAAATGGTCTGGACTCTGCTTTCTTTCCTTCACTATTCTCTTGTCTAGAGCTTTTATATAAGTTGTTACCTTTACCTAGAACAATCCCTCATTTGTTTGCCTCCTAATCTTTCAGACCTGTTTATGTATAACTATTTTTGGTAAGCCTCCCCTTATCCTCCAGGACTGACTTAGGAGCCCTTCCTAAAGCCGCCTAAACCTCCCCCACAGCATAAGTATCTGGTTTATAGGCTCGTCTCTCCCACCAGACTTAGGATCCACGAGGTCAGGGAGCATGTCTGTTTTAGTTACCATTATATACCCAATACATAGCACAGTGCTTGACACATAGTAGGGTCATAAGAAAAGAGAGGGAAGAAGAAAGAGTAAAAAAGGAGGTAAGGAAGGAATGAAAGGAGGAAATGAACCACAACACAGAAGGAGCCTGTTCCTAGAATGGCTGGAAGATGAAGCTTGAAGGGATTCCCTGGGGTTCTGTGGGTTTAAAACAAGGTGCCTGTGGCTTTACCACAGTAGACAAGGAGCTAGATCTAGGCTGAGCACCACAGTTCCCAAGGGAGGAAGCACCAGGAGATGCGGATGTGGGATAATATTTAGCACTAAGAAAAAGGTTCAGGATGTGAGAAGGGAGAAACAAACAAACAAAAAAGGAGCTATATTTGTTGGTTTGTGGGAAAAAAAAAAAAACAGAGAAGGGACTGAATCCTGGCTCCTGTAAAGTAAACTTGGACAATTCATTTAGTTTCTTTCAATGAGAAACTTGAACTAGATTAGTGATTTTCAAATGAGTTTTGAAAACCCTAGGTTTCTGCAGAAGTCCCTTAGGGTCTATTATAAGAGAGAAGGTTCATCAACAGATGTGGCCCCCAACTTTAACCAGAGAAAAATTGTTTTTTATACACTGAGGTTCTACTTAAAACTCATTAAAAAAAAAAAAAAAAAGGTGCTTCTGCTAAAACTAAAGTTCTGAATAGCAGTGGGCTGGATGACCTTTTTAATACCTCCTAGCCTTAATAGTCTATGATCCCATGTGACAGAAAGATTGTCATTGTGTTGATGGCACAGCTGCAGCACTTCCTAGTGCCTGTTCTCATTGCCTGAGCAGAATGACAGAAGAGGTAAGTAAACCAAAGTCCAGGTTCACTGTAAGGTTGAGGCAAAAATGAAACGCACTTTTTAATGTCATGTGGTGATATAGAAGCACAAAGGAGCATTTTTTTCCTAAAGAGTTTTGTATACCTGTGATCTAGGATTCATTGTATAGGTGTCCTGAGTCAGACAAAAAGATATGACAGGTCAGAAATTAAAAATATTGGATCCAGAGCCCAATTCCAATCAAGAGAGAACAATGTAAAAGTTTATCTCGTCAGTCCGCCTGAGACCTAATTACCATTCAAATATGGTGCCACTCTTCTTAACGAGATATTCTGAATGTGCTAAAGAATAAAGCAAAGTTACTGTCATTACATACTTTAAAATCTACCTTTATCTGAAGGTTACAGGCAGGAAATGGCATAGATGAGGAAGGAGATGAGAATCTTACAAAATAAGATCTTCAAAGCCCTGGCTTAAGATGGAGATCCCTTTTCTGTGCTATTCCTTGGCTGTCCATACTTCATGGGGCATTAAAAGGCCATAATGTCATTCTACTTCAATTCTGAGAACAGACAAGCAGCAATAATGTGATCTTACCTGGGTCCTTCCTCGTCGCCCTGAAAGAAACAGAAAGAAACAGCATTAGAAATCAGCACTGGTTAAAGACTGACTTCAATTCCTTTCTTTTCCCTCTGCTTTCCCAACCTGAAAGCAAGGCTTGTGCATTTATTGTAACAGAGACAAACCAGTAGACATCTAAGGGCTAAGACAAGAGATAATATAATCCTATGTTCAAAAAGCCCAACAGAGATGTACTGATAATTTGCCCTTGCAAGCAGAGAAGTGAATGCACAGACCTAGGAGGCCTAAATAATAGCCTTGCCTTTTTATTTGTATGGCTGGCAGTATGTAGTTCTGAGCAAACTGAGAGCCCAAAATAGCAGCAGGTCTTAGGCAAAAGCTGACCAGCTCCCAAAGCATCAAGCTGTTTTCCTCAAAGACTCATCTCTGCCTTGGTCTATCATCTTTTTCTCTAAACAGAAACACAGCAACTCTAATATATAGCACACTATGGTGGAAAGGGCACTGAACTGAGACTCAAGAAACCGAGATTCTAGTCCAAGGTCTGTTATTTATTAGCCATGTGCCCTTAGGCAGAGCTGTATAATTAATCTGGATCTTAGTCTTCTCTTCTGTAAAAGGCATTTGATGACCTACACCATTCACAGCCAAACAAGGCTTTTCTGGTTCTCTCGTTCACTCTTTGAAAAAACAATATATGAGGGTTATTATTCCAGGTATTCATTCTTTGAACCTAACTTTATCAGTGATCACAGCAGATTTCTTTGAGCCTCTTTCTGTGAACAAACAAGATTTTTCGAATGCCTCTCAAGTCTTTTCCAAGGACCTCACTCATTCTTTTGGTGACAGGGTATCTTTAAATCCTCCTCTTCAGCCATTCAGGGTTGGTCTCAATAGAGAATGTATCTCCTAGTTGTTGATAATTTCCCAGAGAACTTTTTGATTTGATAGATGGATTGTTCCTATTGGTATAAAAGAGCTCTGGAGTCAGGTACTCTGGGTTCAAATTTTGACTCCATCACTTGCTTGCTATGTTACTCTAGTTAAATTATTTTGCCTCTCTTAACATCAATTTCCTAATTTGTAAAATGGAATAATAATTGTCCTTGTATCATAGGATGAGTATGAGGATTAAATAAAATAACGTTTATAAATATCAAGACAGTGCTTAAGATATAGGAAGATACTTAATAAAGGTTATTTTATCAATATCAGTAACAATTCAGTATGTTTCATGAAGAAGTTACTATGGTAGGTGCTAAGTGTAAAAGATAAATAATTCATAATGATGTAACCTTCTAGAGCTCCCATTGAGGAGAAACAGATAGAAAATGAACTATACACAAATGTGTTAACGGCTTTACCAAAGACATAAACAGAATGTTTTGATGGTCAGAAGTGAAGTGATAAACCCTGCCTCTCATGGAGTAGTGGCGGGGGCTTCACAGAGAAGGTGACACTTATATTGGCACTTGAGGAATAAGCAAGATTTTCCCAGGCTGACAACAGAAGATAAGTGGCAAGGGTCCTAGACTATCAAAAGCAAAGGCACAGCAGTATTGAAAAACATATGTTTAAGAAATTTTGAGTTCTGTGAAACTAGAAATGGGGATATATATATGTATGTCTTAGGTAGGAGCTATAAGAGTGGGAGTTGTGTGGGGTTGAGGGATTGGGAATGCAACTGAGGTTATAAAGGTCAGCTGTGGCCAGAAAGGTGACTTAAATCAGATTATACACTGGAGGCTGGATATGAAGGGCATTTGTCGAACACTGTTAAGGATTTCCAACATTGGTAAAGGCAGTGATCATCTGTACTCTAATGAGAGAGAAGTGGGGTGAGGGGAAGAAGGAAGGTATAGGGATTGTAGAAGCTTTCTTTGCATTTTGATCAACTGGCATGCCTTATGGGAATTATAAGCTAGTAAGAAAAAATTCATATAATTTAAATTTAATATGAGTTACATAAATATGAATGACACAATTAAACCTCGACACAATTTTCCAATTATCTTTGGATGTTAAAACATAATTTTCTAGAGGAAAGAAAAAACTATCCAAACTTTCTCTCATGATTTGGAGCAAGTCCTCCTCACAATCAAGTATCTTTGTGCAATGGTTAAGAGACGGGGTTTCTGAGTTAGTCAGAAGTTCTGGTTCATCGAGTCCAACAGCGAAGCTTTTGGCAATTTACTTAACATTTCCAAGGTTCGGTTTCCTCATTTACACATGGAGAGCCTAATTCTTACCTCACAGGGTGGCTATATAGATTGAAATAAATAAGAAAATGTTTGTAAAACACTAAGCAAGTGTCTAGTACATTATAAGTTTAACAAGTGATGGTCATTATTGTACTTTCCCTGAATTGCTAATTAATAACATTTCTAGGGAGAGTGGGGAAGGGCAGAGAAGATGGCACATAAGATCATGCTTTATATTCATCTATCTCTGCTGCTTATAGACAATGTGGTCCTTTTCTGAAATAATAATCAATATCACAGAGCATGAGGAGGACCATGGTGAGAGTTTCACTGTTGCAGCGATGAGTAAATATATGAAAGAACAAATATACACACATATCCTTACGAGGCAATTTTAACAGGTCAGCAGACATTCGGAGGATTGCTAGTCTTGGCTAGTAAAAGGGGTGCACAACTGTGTGGTGTTTATCTCTTTATTCACTGCACCAAGCACAGCACAAGCCACACAGTAGATAATCAGTCAAGAAAGAAAAGGGAAGGCAAGATATAAGTAAGATTTATGATTAATTTCTACCCCCATTACAGGTGAAGTCTGGTTTCCAAATTTAATAGACTGAAAATCTGTTAAACACCAACTTCCATTGAAATGATTTGTTAGATTCATTCGGCAATGTTCTCAAATACATCCATAAAATATCCTCAATGCTCTTGGCGGGTAGGCTACACTCTAGTACAACCTCTCAATTCTACTTCTGCCAGTGGAAATATATGTTCACCAAGAATCAAACAAGTTTGTTCCTAAGCCTGTTTTTATTAGTTGAACTTGTAATTATGACTCATTTTATTAAATACCAAAAGCAAGAGAGAACTGTTTGCTTCCAAGAGTTGTTGATTGCATAAAAATTAAGTTGAATGCTTTCAACAGTTACTTAAAAACTGCTCTAAATTTTGACGTAGGTGAGACACATAAAAAATATTGGAAAAAATGAAAGTATAAAAGTCTAAGGTTCTATGTTCAGCTTGCTCTGAATGTTATCGTCCTCACTACAGAAGGACTGATATTGGATCTTATAAATGGTGCACTATGGACATGGTTTATGCCAGAAACATTCCATTCTATTCCAAACAACAAACCCGTATTCTCAAAGAATCAAAATCAAAAAAATATACAGATACATATTTCAAGTTTAAAATAAAAATGTTTGGGGTATGTACGTATCATTTTTAATGATTTACCTATCTGAACCAACTTTTTCTAAGATTATCTCACTGTAGCTCAGTACTCTTCTCTCAAAATTAGACAAAGATAGAAATACTCATGACATACAAATAAAAATAAAGACACAATTTTTTAATACTTAATTTGGCAAAAAAATTTATAAACGATATAACTAAATTCAGTCCCAAAAAAGAGATTTTTTTTCAAACTGGTAATGAAAATTATAATTATTACAGTTATAATTACAGTTATAATTATTCTGTGGACTGTTACAGAATGTACAAGAGCCTAAAAAATGTCCATACCTTTGACTCAGTAATTGCTTATGATTTATAAACAAAAACTTTCTCTACGATTTTATAAATGACAGTAAAAAGTTGGAAATAACAAAATGAGGTAAAAGTTAAATTTGTATTATTGATTCAGGATTCAAACATTATGTTTATGAAGAATTTTTAGTAATATGAGAAAAATTTTAAACATGATGTTAAGAAAATAATGGTGTGAGGGGATGAAGGTGTTAACTTACCCTATTGAGGTAATAATTGTTCGATATATACATGCATCAAATAATTATATTGTATATCTTAAACTTACTTTATATGTCAATAATATTTCAATAAAGCTGGAAAAATACACACACAAACATGAAACAAATACAATACCTAATGATAACTATCAATTTAGTGTATTCACTTTGGGCTGTTTCTATACATTCTGTAATGATTAAGAAAGCAATAACTTCAGTTATTCGAAGAAGGGCAAGACCACGTCTTTTGAGACCTGTAGAACTGGTACTGAAACTCCTCTCTTACCCTATATTCTATAAGGTGACCCAAAAAGGTTAAAAACACATTTTTAAAAAGAAATGTCACCAAGAAACCTGGTCATCTTTGGACTCCTTCGATCAGAATCTCTGTGATCCTATTTGGCCTAATCAAATTAGTCTGTACTAAAGATTTCTTAAAACAGACACGCTGTGTTAATAGACTAGTTTTAGAATAATCTTCATAGATCAAAGGGAAATAGCACCTGAGCAGGTAGGATATCCAGACTTTTTTAAGTTTATTGAGACATAATTTATAATACCATAAAATTACCTCCTGTTTTAAGTGTATATTCAATGACTTTTAGTAAATTTATAGTTATGCAACTATTATCACAAACTTGTTTAAAAATTATACATACATATACACAGATATAAAATTATAACCATTTTTTCTTCTTAATCTTAAAAGTACATGACTAAGCAAAAATTAGAACTGTCTTGCAGTTTTTATAATATATGTAGATTCTGTATATATGATACTATAACATAAAAGACATGAAAAGAAGGTAAACTGGCCTATACAGTTTCAAGATGTCTACAATTTATGTGAAATGGTACAATGTTAATTTTAAGTAGACTAAAATTTTAAGGATATATAGTATAATTCTCAAAGAAATCACCAAAAAATAATACAAAGTAATAGAACTAAGTAGATATATTAAAATGGAATTCAAATAATAATTTCAAAAGAAGGCAGGAAAAGACAATGAAAGGAACAAAAAGAGGGACAAACAGAAAACAAATCACAAAATGGCAGACCAAAATTTAACCATACTAATAACAACATTTAAATGGTAATGAACTGGACACTTCCATTAAAAAGCAGAGATTATCAGAATGGATAAAAGAATTAAGACCTAGCTATGTGCTGCCTAACAGGATAGACTTTTGACAATAAACAGACTGAAAGCAACTGGATGAAAAGAGATATACCATGAAAACAGTAAGCATAAGATTGGAAAGGCCCTATCATCATTACATAAAATATACAGCAAGACAAAGAATATTATCAGAGGAAATAGAATAACTTTTCATGACAATTAAAGGGTCAGTTCATCAGTGATATGTAACAATCATAAATGTATATTTGCTTAATAAGCTTCAACATATGAAAAGTTGATAGAATATACTTGGAAATTTAATAACCCTCTCTCAGCAGTTGATAGAACTAGACAAAAAAATCAGTAAAAACAAATTTTCTGAACACCTCATTGATATTTAATAGAACACTATACCCCAAAGTACAGAATACACATTCTTTTTAGGTGTACATATGTATTCACCAAGAGAGACCATATGTTGGGCCATAAAACAAGTCTTGATAAATGTTAAAAGACTGACATCATTCAGAATATGTTCTCTGATCACAATGGAATTAAATTAGAAATGAAAAACAAAAAAGATATGTAGGAAAATCCCTAATATTTGGAAGCTAAACAACATACTCCTAAATAATCAATAAAAAAAAATCACATGTTCTGAACCACAAGCTGCAATCTGCTTTTAAATGCATCGAAAATAAGATGCATTGATAAATGGAGGGTTGAAAAGATGGCTACACACACACACACACACACACACACACACACAGACACACACACACACACAATAAATCAAGTACAGTAAAATGTTAATGGTAGAATCTAGCTGAAGTATATGGGTGTAATCTGTAAAACCTTTCAACTCTGCTCTATGTTTGAAATTTTTCATTAAAAAATGTGGGGAGGGGGTGGTAGCTAAATTCAAAATGCAACTAATTTTTCTAAAAATCCATATCGTGCAAAGGAAAGAAAAGAATTCCTCTGTTGAGTAAAAGAAAGGTACTAGAAATTTGCTCTGATCAATAAGTTACCAGATTAGCTGGAACAAGAGGCTATTAGATGATAACAGCTCTTTGTAAAAGCTTTAGCCAGCTGAACACTACTTCTTTTTAATAGCTCATTTTGTCTACATGCTAGTCCTTAGGCCTTATTAACTTTGCATGCCTAGGAGTAATTCCATCAGAGTTAACAAGTTAAGCAGTTGAGCAACTGAAGTACTTAAAGGACAGTTAATGTTGGGGAGGGACTAAATTCATTATTTGAAATGAAAATAAAAGAGAGGGGGCTATCTCTCAAAATTAAATCTTTAATTTTGAAAAACAACCTAATCAACACAGAAAATAAATGCAAGGCTCCAATCTGAGGGGAACTGGGGACAGAGTTATGGCATTGATCCCTTAAGTTAACTCTGGTTGACCTTTCTGTTTATTAAGACACAAAGTGACCACCCCCACACTGTAAAAGGCCTTAGGAATACAAAGCTGTCTAGGACACAGATTGTCCTCATTCTTTTCCCCAGATACAAACAGGATGTTTGGCGTATGGCATAGAGCAGAGCACAGGCATTAAAATAGGATAGACTTAAATCTGAGTCTTGATCCTATTTTTTTACTAACTAAATAACACTGGGTTAGTGTCTCTGCAGTTCTCTGCATCTCAATATCACATAAGTAAAATGAAGATAATGAATGCTGATATAAGGATTAAATGAAATGATGACTCTAAAGTGCTCTCTTGCCTATCTAGAAACTTATCTAGGCATACACTGTCTTAATTCTGCAGAGGATGAAATGAAAAGAACAAGACCTATTCTTTTCACACATTGATGAAATTAATCAAGAACCCTGGATGAGTGAGGCAGATAACTGTTCAATGGTCTCTTACATTTCCTGTCAGCATAGCTTGGACAATACCTGCCTCCTAGATTATATCATGGCTCCTCTATTCTGTGGCGAGGCTCTCTGGGGCCAAGGCAAGACTGCTAGTCAAGGCTGAGCTCATTAAGTCAGCAGCAGTCCTGGAAAGTTCACAGGACTCTCCTATGTTTTCTTCTAGGAGGGCCTATCCAAAACCCATCTGCCATAAGCTTGACTAGACTTTTCAACACAATGCTATGAAATGTGATGAACCACCACCTCTCCCCAGTAACTAAAAAATGTTATAAATTATAT